GTTTTTTTCAATACACGCGCTGAAGCTTCAGTTTCAAACTGCCCATTACTATCCCTCAGTCCTCCTGTCTGCTTCTCCACCTGGAAATCTGTCACCTCACCTCCTTGGACTACAACCTCCTCCTCCGGGTCACTCTCACCTCCCTCTCCTGTAAGAAATCTCTACATAAACTCTATTTACAATCAGTATAAACAAATACTCACCTCATCTCCTTCCTTTTCAGCCCTGGAACCAATTTAAGATTCACTTTGTAAATAAAAACATTTACCTTTTGCAATCAGTCTCCTGTGTCTGTTCCTCTCTACATCGCTCACCTTTGACTGCCTGTAAACCTGATACAGAATTGCTGGAATTGACCTGCAAAATCTCACTGACCTACACAAGGTCAAAATCTCACTGACCTACACAAGGTCAGGTCAGTGAAAAAGGCCAAACTGATCCTGGCAGACCCTGATCAGCCATTCCATGGTGAGTTCAGGCTGCTCCCGTCTGGAGGCAGATACGAGTCGACCAAATGTCGGACAAACGGATTTAAAAACTCATTTATCCCAGCAGCAGTTAAATTCCTTAACGAACATTTGTGATTGTGTATGAATGTTTTTGTTTAGTAGTTTTTACTCTAGTGGCTGTACAACAAATTGCCCCTCAGGGATAATAAAGATTCTTGAACTCTTGAACCATTGGTTCAGAGGCGGTGGATGGAAAGAACCGGCTTCTCTACCACCACACCACAGCCACTTCATTAATAATAGTCAGTTGTATTAACAGCACCATCTTTATTTCTGGGTCTGTGCTCCGTCCCAGCCRGTTATTTCTGTCCAATGGGAGCACTGTCACCTGCATGGCTTTGTATATAAATTACAGTCCACTTGCAAAAAGCACAATGTGAATGCAAACCACACCAAAGGAAAAAATAAAATCCGCTATTTAGTCCATACCAAACAAGTGGACTAAAGGACTTTGCTGGTGTGAAGAAAAGACCCTTAATCACACAAAGAAGCATTGATTCTTACTCTCTGTGTTCAGATMACCTGTTCTTGCTCTCTGTCACATTTCTCTGCACAGAACTGGGAAATTTGTAATTGTTACGTTTGCTGCCTCTTGGCCAAGACTGCCTTAAAAAAGGTCTATAATTTCAATGGGACCTTTCTAGTTAAATAAAATATGAATAAAATAAATTAAATATTTTTAATAAAAGGATATGTTCAAGCCACCTATGGCAGATTTTTATAGCATCTCTCAAATGGAAAGTGAAGCACAACTTAGTGGACTAAGATAAAAATCAAAAGTGTAGAGACAAAGGTGAAAAAAAGTTACTGAGAATAATACATTACTTTTTATAAAAGAAATGTGAAATTAACTGTTATATTTACAGTGTATTTCAACTAGGCATTTTTTTTTACCCCTAAGGAACACAAGATTGTAGTAAAATTACGGTAAGGTCACAGGAACATTTGGAAAAATTCTGACAAAACTAAATAAAAAGAATTATGACTTTAGTTTTTTGACTGAACCAAGTTAAATAAATTGTTACATAATAACTTGGAAAAAAGTAAATACGTGGCCTATTTTCTCCTCAAAAGACAGCATTAAGAACAGATGTAATTAGTCACAAGTACCTTTCTCTGCTGGCTGGACTGCGTTTTTCCAGCTGTTTCAAGCTACTGCTGCCCGGCGTTGTTGCCTGAGAATTTAACCCACAACCTCCACTCTGTCCATTGCTGTGATCAGAAAAACTGTTGTCTGCCTCTGACAGCCACATCTATAGAAATACATCAAAAACACATGAAACACTTAAGTGAAGGGAATCCCATTGGTTGGCTAAGTACTAAAGGTTGCAGTTTTTGTTGCAACATTTACTTCGTACAAAAAGTAAGTAAATTTGACTTTAGTGGATTATCTCTTTGTTACGATGCTTGTTGGCAATAAATCTTATACCTGCACTTAACTGAAATGGTTAAATTTTTATGATTTGGCAGATTATAGTACCTTCCAAGCTATTTATATTGTTCATAAAAATATATCACTTGTAAATATTCAATTAAAATTTGTTGAAATAAAAAGTCAATAGAATCCCAAGGAAACATAAAAAACACCATTTCGAATTATCCTAAAGAAATGCTGTACTGTAATTAAAGGAAAAGGTTTATGGAATAACCTCCTGAGAATATTAAAGCTTCCAGAACAATTTATGTTTGTAATATGTAAAAAGATGATTACAAACTASTTTATTGAAAAAATATGATACTAAGTAGAATATACCAACAAAGGCTCTTTAAACAATGGACTCGATGTGMTTTTTGTCAGATTAGGTTTTGAGTTTGAGTCTGTAAAAAAGGTAAAAAGGTAAAGGTGCTTTATTTGTTATCAGTGTATGTTTCCACACAATGACGAAATTGTGCTCTGCATTTGACCCATCCACATCCAAGTGGAGCAGCGGGCAGCCATGTGAAGCGCCCGGGGAGCAGTTAGGGTTAGGTGTCTTGCTCAAGGACACCACGACATGTGGGTATGGCGGGGAGT